ATTCTGTTTGGACTGACCTGCACAGACGTCACAGCACAGCATGTTGTCAAATACACCTGCTATAGAGAATGTCAAATGTGCCAACTGATGAGGGAGACTGAGTCTTTGTGTCTTTTTGTAAATGTGCATATTTGCTGTTCAGTCCAGGAAGTGATACAACAGTCTCATCTAGTTCCAGTTCATTGTTCTCTCTAACAGTCTCACATCCCTGTACACCTGATTGTCTCAAAGGCATACACATGCATCTTGTCATTCTTTTACATTTTCTGAATAAAATATGAGTGGTGCTTAACCATGCAAAACATGCTGTATTATGCAACATGTTAGGGTATTATGGGTGGTTGTTTGCCACAACTTTGCTATGTAGTATCTAGTTTACTATATAGTGGGTGGTCTTAGTGCTTGCTAGGTGGTTGCATACTGACACTTCACTCGTAAAAGTAAAGGTTCCAAAAAGGTATTTTTGCAGTGATGCCACAGAAGAACAATTTTAGGTTCCAAAAAGAACATTTAAGTGAACAGTTCTTAAAAAAAACATATTTTCTTAGTGTGAAGAACATTTTAAGAACCTTTTGTTTAGCGGAAAGCTTACATGAATGTTAAAGGTTCTTCATGGGACCATCAATGCCAATAAAGAACCTTTATTTTTAAGAGCGTACTGAGTCTCTTGTGATATTCTGGTCTTTCTGTCTCAGGGGCCGTTCATACCAAGGATAATAACTACAACTATACAATCTTTCTAATTCTGTGAGAATTAGAATCCATGCGACAACTATAACAATAAAGACAAAGAAAGGATATCACTGAAATCACTTTCAGAACATTTTTTTTCCAACTAAATGAAGCTAATGTGCAGCAATTTAGATAAGGTATTTGAATTGGAACTACTTTAGCCATGCATATATTTCAATTTACAACTTTACATCATGTGATTTACAAATTATCTCATTCATAAGAAATATTTTTCCCTGTAAAAAAAAAAAAACATATGTATTGGCCTGTCCTGTACCTTCAGGAGAGGATTAGTACATATTTATATATTTAATAAAAGTTGACACACCATGTTTTGGAGGATCCTTCCGCTCAGTGGTGCTGTCGATCTGTCTCCTGTCAAATGGGTTGACATGACCCTGACGAAAACGAGCAAGTCTTTCATTATATTCCATGACACTGGTCACATCTGTAGAAGACAGACACATGATCAATATGTAATATAATACACCCAAAGGGATAGTTCAAACAAAAAAATGAAAATTCCGTCATCATTTCATGTCACCTTTTAATCCGTTTTTAGATTCTAGAACAGAACAAACTTTCAGCTCTTCTGGGAGTGCAATACCTATATGTATACTTAATTTGCTGTAAAGTTGCTTTGCAATGATTTGTATCGTGAAAAGCGCTGTACAAATAAACTTGAATTGAATTGAATGTAGGCTTTAAAAAGAAAAGAAAAAACTTTGGTCACACTTTATATTAGGTGGCCTTAACTACTATGTACTTACATCAAAAAATAAGTACAATGTACTTATTGTGTTCATATTGTATTGCAAAACACTTTTGCTTCTATTGAGGTGGGATATGGGTATGGTTAGGGACAGGTTTGGTGGTATGGGTAGGTTTAAGGGTGGGTTAAGTTGTAAGGGATGGGCCAACAGTGTAATTATAAATGTAATTACAGAAATTAATTACTGATGTAACTACTAATAGGTATTTTTAAAAATATAAGTACAATGTAAAAACATGTATGTACACAATAAGTGCATTGTATCAAATTATTAATTTAAATGTAAGTACATAGTAGTTAAGGCCACCTAATATAAAGTGGGACCAAAACTTTTATCATGCTTTAAGTACAAAAATTATATGTGAATATTCCCTGAGAGTATGGGAGAGGTGATTGCTAACTATTTTAAATAAATAAATAAATGGATGGATGGATGGAATTGTCTTTATTAAACAAAAAAAATAATGGAAAACATGTTTTAGAGGGGAAATTTAATCAGAATCAGTAAGAGTTGTATTGCCAAGTGTGCTAGCTCACACAAGGAACTTTTCTAGATATTCATTGAGGGTGTACTCACACTAGGCAACAACCATGCCCGAGCACGTCTGACCCCCGAAGTCTGGTTCATTGACTAGTGTGATCGCTCTGTACAATGCCCAAGCGCGGTTGGCTGAACCATGCCCTGGCCTGCTTGAAGAGGTGGGCTTGGGCACAATTTGATTAGGCTCGGGTGTCACACATGTGTGATCGCTAACTGTGCCGGAGCACGGAACAGGCAGCTACTACTTTTGTTTGCGCTACTGTCATCATTACAACAACAAACATCTTCTATTACTCAGACAGTACACTTTTCAATTAATTTGAGTATATACTAGGCAACCGTGCCTAGTGTGAGTACGCCCTAAGTGATAAGCTGTTCTCGCAAAAGCAGTTTATTTAGCATAGTGAAGCCTGGTGTCTTCCCCAGCATGCTGCAGCATTATGAAATTTTTCTGCTAACCAACCTTGGGGGATTGTCCAGGCTCTGATAAAGTTGGTTGCAACTTACGGTTCATGCAGACTTTCAAACTCACAGCACATGGATGTGTTTGACTTCGGCTGTGTCTGGATTTAACTATTCAGCAAGATTTGATATTTGTAGTCCATGGAGGATTTTTTAAAAGTAGATCAACTCAAAATGAATGTTTAATGGCGAACATTTTTAAGATTAGCTGATAGGCTGGCAATTCATTAAATGATAAGCTAAGATAAGAAAACAAAGTTCTCTGCATTAAAAGACCCAAGACTGGCAGATCAACATGCTAATGCACTACATTTTAGCAGGGTTGTGATAAAGAGTGGCACGGCCAACCTGAAATATGATTGCTGCCCCCATTGGATCTCCCAACATCATTTGGCTAGAGTACTGTCAATCTGACGATGCCTGTATGCCATTGTTGCATGCAAAGTTTGCATTTGGAGCGCTCAATAACACCGTTAGATCAATGGGTTCTGTCAGTGCTTAGGCAAAGTAACACTTTTTTTTTCTTTCTTTTTTTGCCATGCAATAAAGCTAAGTTCAAAGGCCAATTTAAAATATTGGTACAGTAAAAAGTGCACAAAATTAGTACTTTTGTAAAGGCAGTATTTGTGGCAGTCGAGAACTCATGCTGCAAAATTGGTCCAAAAGGTATGTGTTTTTGCGCCAATGCATTGTTAAAGGATCAGTGTGTTGTGTAATATTCCCATATAAAACTTTAACTGTCAATTTAAAAAAAAATTGGTATAGTAAAATTCTCTAATTCACAAGATCAATACAGTACCTCCTTTATTAAACCGCTTTGTTGAATTTAACGCATCCTTAAGGAAGTGTCGAAATGCTGAATCAATTCATTAACTTCTAACAGCACTTAATAGGAGCAGCATCATACCAAAGTCCCTTTAAGAGGGATGTCACTCGGCGGCCATCTTTGAAATGACTTTCGGGCATGCAAGTGCAGCTCCCATCTCTTTGAATGGGGAAACATCAAACTCTCCAAAACTGTTTGCCAAGCTTATGATTAAATTTCATATTTCAAATCTGACAACAACTGTCTCATAAGTGTTGTTTCTTTTGCTCAAATAGCGTTAAAAAAAGCATATTTTTCAGGCTAGACCAGGCAGTGCACATGCGCAGTCCTAAGTGCACGTCTCTGAATGCTGACTGTTTTATTGGCGGGGCTTCGTTCAATAGAGCGGCCATATTGAGTGTTGCATTTTCCCCCATTCAAAACTATATGAGTGACATGTCTTGGGTATTCTATAGTCTTTGATCATAAACAGAGGGCAGAGCATCGCTTTATTAAAAGGGGAAGTTCACGCGTCAAAGAGTAACGAGGGAATAAGTAGCTGCATTCTGATTACTTTTATGTGACTGATCAAGATTTTTTATGTAGTTTGGGGTAACAAAGGGTTTTATAGGTTTGACTGAAATAATAATGGAAAAACTGACACTTTAAATCAAAGTTTCAAACAACAACAACAAAACTGTACAAAAGGCGATAGAGAGAATTTCTGTCAGGGAATTGGAGAGAGATGAGGCGAGGACTCAAATGCAGGAAATCTGGGCTCTTTATTAATGATAAAAACAAAACAAAACAAAAAAAAAACACCCCAAGGGGGAAAAACAGGCAGGCAGGCTCTGTGCCGAACCTCCTCCAGGTGCTGATGGGCTCATCAAGGTCCTCGAGAGCCGCATCGTTGTAGTCCAATCCCTCAGCAGCACTCCTGAACTCCATGGTGAATTCCCTAAGGTCAGTCCCCCGTTGACGGAGGGAACTTAATGCTGCTACTTGGAGCACGCGTTGGTAGAGGGGGCTGCTGGTAGTGGCTGGTAGTGGAGGCTGGTAGCTGGAGTGAGCCCATTCTCTGCTGAGTCCTCATGTGGCATTTTCGTTCTGTCAGGGAACTGGAAAGATGAGGCGAGGAATCAAATGCAGTAAGTCTGGGCTCTTTATTAATGATAAAACAAAAAAACAAACAAAAAAAAACCACCCTGAGGGGGAAAAACAGGCAGGCAGGCCAGAAACAAGACACAACACATTCCACAAGAAACTCATGAACATTAAACAATGAAACAGCACAGGACTGCAGACACAAGGAGAATAAATAGGGACACAAACGAGGAGGGTAACGAGGGAGACACAGATGGAGTAACTAAAACAATAATGAGATAAGATGGGTGGGGTAAGACAATAGACAGGAGAGCACATGGCACCAACAAACACACAACAAGCCATGTGCTCAAACAAACACACAGTGACATCTGGTGGCCAACTAGGGCACACCAGCAGAACCGTGACA